ATCACTTTTACAAGACCTGACAGACCTCTTTATAACACAGTGACCTAAGTTTTACTAGTTTGAAAGTAATGTGAAGTCAAAATAAAATTATATAATATGCTTAGCCTGGACTGTAAATCTGCAGTCAGCTAGCAGCAGCATGTTGCACCTGGCCAGTGTAGTTTGGTTAGTCTCATGTGGGGTTGCAACAGTACGAGATTTAAAATACACAGTTGCTGTTATCAACTACAAGGACTCTCAGAAGAGTGACAAAAGGAGTCTTTCTTTATTTCAAGTGACTGTGCCAGTTTATTGAGCTGGATTGCAGCTAGATTGACCTTAAATAAGTTATAATGATAAAAAGAAAAAAAGCATACAACGGTAACATGTTAACACCAGTAAAGTATTCACATCCTTAAATACTAATATCACACTGTGAAAGTGGCCTGTTCTGTTACAAATAGTCCTGCATTAATAAGTATTAACACAAAAATGTACTTAAAGTATTAGTAGACTACTCAATGCAGAAAAATGTTACCCTATACAGTATGTTATGTTAATGACCTGTCACTCATGCACTGATGCAAAAGCAGGATTTGACTATTTGCTTGAGGTGGAGCTCTGCTGAACTAGTTCTAGTGCAATAAGTGATTATTGTCGTTACGGATTAACCTGCAGGATTATTTTCTGTGCGAGTTCTTTTGTAAATTGAACAAATAGACAATTTGATGGCGCATTTTGTTGTTTGGTAGTAAAGTTATAAACAGGACACATACTTTGACCTGTACGGAGGTATGGTGCTCATTTTTGATAAGTAATCCTGCGCGTCTAAATGTACTTGGTGGATGGAGTTTGGTGATTTCAGCCTCCGCTCTTCTATTTGGCTGCTGTGTGTGTGCACGTACGGTGCCCGTTGAATTAATAGATGGAAGTTGGAGGAGTGTGGAATAATCGCCGTGACCATACCAATCAGCTCTCCGGTCATGAACACCAGGCTGATGGTGCAGGCGACAAGCAGCTTCCTTCTGGCCAAATGTCTGGTGTCACTATCAGCCCCCGATGTGGTGTTCGGGTCCTGGCAGAGCTGCCCAGGCCGCCAACGGGCGTCTGCGCTGGAGGCACTGTAGCTGAACTCCGAGTCTGGAGAACCCGCCCTGAAAGAAGACAGAAGTGGGAATGGTTTTCTGGAACATTATTCAAAAATGCTGAAAAATGGAAAAGATTTGAGAGGGTAAGAAGAAGAAGTACCTACCATCCAACAGGCTTCAAATGAGACTCCATCAGATGCTCTTTCTCAGGCTGTGTGGGAAAATTCCATGTCCAGATGTGGCTCCACTTCAGGACTCCAGGATTTCATCTAGTGTTGAAGTGAAGCTCCACAACTTAAACATCGGCTCTAACACACATTATTTGTCATGGGTGGAGCATGAAGAGATGACAGTGACAGATTACTGAGCTCAGTGGTGATAGCTAAAATTACAAAACAAGGTTACTGACACTTCCATTTCAGCTCAAGTTTATTTGATCCAAATTTTGGAGAAACAACTTGGAAACAAAGGGAAAAAAAAGAACAGTAAAATACCTGGGAATGCTGAGATATACAAATTGTGTTTGGTAATATTTTACCCAAATAAACTTGAAAAAGTAAACCCACTTCGTCCCAACAAATTGTATTCAGGCACTTTGTATTCAGGCACATAGCATTATGGTGAGATACAAACACAGCCCAGTGAAATACAAACCACAGTACAATATAGACATGATGAAAGATCAGAATTATCTTAATATACATCCAATGTGTTCTAGAAATTCCAATCACAAATATAACTCTGAATTTACATAAAAACATGCTTCCTGCATAATAAATCTTTAAAAAAAACCTTGATACATCTAGGATCTTGTCACCAGGTTCAACGTGGAAATCAGGAAGATTTGGCAAAAAAAACTGAATCATAAAGTTATCCTGTTGTTAAATCTGGCAGTTCACCATTTGTTCAAGTGTAGAAAAGGTTCAAACAATTAACGTGACCATTATTTGTACCTAAAAAAAAAATTGTAATTGTTGTAATTTTGTCCCAAGGTCACACAATGTGCAGCGAACTGATAGTTCCACTAGTCTGTCTTTAAGTAGTTTGTTTGCTTTCTTTCTACGAGTGAGGTGAGAGAATCGATACCGCTCATCTCTGTTTGGTAAATGTGAGGCTACAGCCTGGAGGTGATTAGCTTAGCTTAGCATAAAGACTGGAAACAGAGGGAAACAGCTAGCCTGGCTCTGTCAAAAGGTAAAGTGTGTCCACCAAGATCTCTAAGGCCTACAAACTGAATCTGGGCAAACACTATATGCATGCAGCTTGAGTTTAGCACCAAATGTGTCACCACATCATGCAGTTTGAGGTGTCTGATTAATCATCTGGCTCTCAGGCGATCAGCTGGATTTCTGACGTTTGAAATTTTGACAGAAGACAAGGAAAAGACAAGTGAGGAGAACATGGATGCAATTAAGGACAATGAGATTTACCCTCCTTTGACTACACTGACTACAGCCTTCTTGTCTGAATTAACTTTACTGGAACAGTCACTGAGCGCAGCCGACTTTGGCTTCTGTAACTGTTCCAGTCAAGTTAAACGTTCTGGCTGTACAGAGAGGCCGATCAAAACGTGTTCTGAGAGTTACCACTATGCAATCAATAAAAATCGCACAGTGTCGGCTCAACTTTACAGTGACGAAAGACTCCGGAGAGTCAGATGCTGACCTTTCAACCATGGAAAGAGCCAGGCTAGTCGTTTCCTCCTGCTTTCATTCTTTATGCTAAACTAGGCTAATCACCTCCTGACCAGAACTCCACTCCTACCGACACATTCACAGTATGTCGGAATTATTCATGATGAGTTTCCAACTTGTCAGAACTGTTGAAGTCGAACAAATTCGTAACTACAGAACAAACTCTGGATTTATATCCAACTGTAATGAGTAATAACATGAAAACCAGATGCTTCACATCAGCTCACGTCTTTTGTTAAAGGTGATTAAATCCAGTTTAAAGAAGCTTCATGCTGCCAACTCTGCAACCAAACAGCTTTGTCCAAAATTGTGAAGTCAGACTGTGAGAATTTTCCCCATCACTGCCATCCATCCCACAGGACGTGAAGGGACATCAGCTTGATGTTGATACTCTCACCTAACTCGGAGAACAAAGTCTCCCTAAATGGTGAATTATTCGTTAAATGGCCATCACCATTACATTAATGCTCAATGGGCTATTTACAGGCTCTCAGCCAAACGAGGGACAGACACTGTTGACCCCAGTCAAGACTGTACATTTGTGGAATCTGAATGCAAAACTGCATCCTTCATGTTTCTATGTGCCGTGGGACTGAACACCTGTAAACCACAGGGCCCCTAACAATCTGAGAAGCACAAATCGGTCCATTAAAAACAAACATTTCTGACCCATGATCTCACAATCATTGTGGCAGCATTTAAATATGAAGTTACATTTGTAAAGTGCACAAGAAGAACGGTTATTCTAGACCTTGGTAAATATAAAAAAAATGAGTTTGGATTTAAGACAAACCCACTGGCACGATCAAACCGCTGCTAGATTCATGTAAACACATACAGTATCATTCTGAGGTCAAGATGTTTTCTGCATGTCAGCCAGTCTCTGACAACAACAAGCACATTCAAACACAGAAACTGTATTTATAGTCTTGATTAAGCACTTTAAAAGAATCAACACAGCCACTGATGATGACCCACGTTTACGACACAGGCCAGAATCCGCAGGACTCACTCATTCATTTATTCCCCTGCTGACTTGAGGTGCCGTTGGTTGCATGAGGCTGAATCACAATCGGTGCGCTCTCACCTGCAGATGTGAGAAACAGGGTTGTTCTTTTAATGACAGCTGCAGTTTCTGTACTTTGATCTATTGATCAGGAAAAGCAGCAAATCAGAGCTGTTTGTTTCAAAAAGAGAAAGAAGGAAATATTACATTATTTTAACAATTGAGAAGCTAAATAAAAGAAGTTTGATACTGTTCATGGGTCATTTATATCTTACCTTGTCTGTATTTATAACTTTATTTAACATGATCCTATGTATTTACACGGCACATGTACCGTTACATTTGGCACGGGAGGCTCCATGCATTCAAATTCTCCACCACAGCAGCACAGGTGGCACTTAAGATTTGTTGCTTTTCTTTTTTTTTTATAACATTATAAACTTAATCTCATTGCATTTGGCACAAAACAATATTTTAAGATGTCAAAACCTTTCATGGATTTGTTTTTTAGGGCTTCAGGGTTTATCTAAATAACAATACATAATGATCAACCAAACAGCTCTGAAATACAACAAGAATATTTTATAGATTACACAGCAGCAGGGAACAGCAGAACAGAGCAGATGCTTTAGAAAAAACTGCTGAAGTTGGTGAATACGCAGCCCTTGAATCAATACCAACTGTAACTTTAACACAGGTTTTGTTTTCTTTTCTTCTACAATGATCAATACATCGCTCAAGAGCAGAGGTTCTCAAACTGTTGAACCTTTGTGAAGTACCTGGTACTTAAACCTTTGCCTTTCCTTTGTGTGATACATCATTCTGCAGCTCCTCTGAATCCATCTCAAAAATTCATGCAGAATCCCATCTCCCACACTCAGGACCACTGCTCCTGATCTTTAGCTTCAGCATATTTGTAAACTGTTTTTTTCCAACAGTGACAAAGGAAAGCATGCAAAGCTACTAAGGCACATCCTAAGGGCTCATTAAGAAAACACCACCTCAGGTTACTTTGCCACACCCTTTCAAAAAGGTTTTGTTCAATGCATATCATTGCTAAGTAAATGTTAGTATGTTATTTGCAGTGCTAGAAGCTGCCACAGTTTTATTCGGCTCTACCAGATAAGGCAAGCAGCACTGAGCAACAGTCGGCTGAGGACAGGTGAACGTTGGCTGAGGACAGGTGAACGTTACCTGAAGAGGTCATAACTTTACCTGGTTTGTGAGTGGCAGCACAAGGGCTCGGCTGAATATTTACTACATGGTCTCCTGCTGTGAAACAGAATGCAACACTGAGCAAACCACATGCTGCTTCTTAACAAAACAACTTGAGCTCCTTTCATGGCTAAGAACAGATCAACAAGGACTTTAAAGGAACAGTTTGACATTTTAGGAACCAAGTTCACTTTCTTGCCAAGAGTTAGATGAGAAGATTAAAACCATTCTCAAGTCTCGATGCTAAATAGGACTCTTAACACTGACAGCGGGTTAGCTTAGATTAGTGTAAAGACCGTGGACAGCCTGGCTCTTTCAAAAACCAAATCCTCCACAGTTCTCTAATTAACATTTTATTTATCTTGTGTGCTTATTCTGTATACAACCAAAGTGTGAAAATGATAATTTGTGGTTTTATTATGTGTTATTTCTCTGCCAAGAGCCATCACCAAGCAAATATTACCTACCAGCTGGGTGAGCTGTTACTGTTTTCAGTTTATATGCTAGGCTAAGTTAACGGGTTCCCTGGTAGGCTAGTGGTTAAGGCGCAGCGTTCTCACCGTTGCGGCCCAGGTTCGAGTCAGGGTTGTGTCAGGAAGGGCATCCAGCGTAAAACGTGTGCCAAATGACAACATGTGAATGGCCAGTGTGACAATTCGCTGTGGTGACCCGTAACGGGAAAAAGCCAAAAGTGACTTTCATTCATGCTAAGCTAAGTTAACCAGCTTTGAACATGCCTCCTAATTTTAGACACTGGGTGCATCCAATTTATGACAATGAAGATTTTTCTGTTATGTGACATCCCATACTTCCACTGATAGTGACTGATGAAATATAAACCGAGCCTCTCTTTCTTTGACAAGGTTTGCTGTAATATAAACCAAACTGGGCATAATGGTAAACATGAACTCTCTCATTTCCAGTTCAGTTTTCAAACTGGTTTTATTTCAGATTTTTAGAGCCACTAATTTTGTTGTGATGCTGTTATGGCTTCATATCAGACTGTTCTATATTATGTATCATGGGATTTTCATAGTGCCAAACAAAACCAAAGTTTTAGTTTAATTTCCTTACATACAGTCTACAATGTAATGTGCACTGAGCGTTTTAATGTAAGCAGCAGGAAGACGGCCTATTTCTGTACAAGTTAAAGTGAATCCAGAAGAGTAAAGTCCCTCACCAGCATCCTGTTCTCTGATCTCTGCCTCCAGGTCTTCAGGGTCCACATAGGCAAAATGTTCATCCTCTGGTGATTTGCACTTCCCACAGCAGAAACAGCAGCAGCAGAAACAGCAGCAGCAGGTGAAAATACCACAGCACACCACAAGTGCCTAAACACAAAGAGGAAAAATGAGCACCACTATACAAGTACTTTTGTAACCCAGCTCTCACTTTGCCTACACCTTACAAAACAAAAGATTTAACTACAGGAAAGAACTTTTTAAAAAAGTAGATGACACCATGTAAGAGACAACTGTCTAAAAATAAACATACAAGTACTAGGATATCTTAAAATCATTTGCAGACATCTGCTTTGCTTGCTTTTGAAACCACACCCAGCATCTCTCACCTTGAACCAGCACTTGGACATGAGGAAGTAGTATTTGACACTCTCGTCCCCAAACTGCTCCGCAATGTAGAGCCCCATGGATCCATACTCATCATAGATTTTCCGTTTGTTCTCATCACTGAGGGTGGCGTTGGCGTTGTTGATCTCCTTGAATTTCTCAGCAGCTTCTGGGTTGTCTGGGTTCTTGTCAGGGTGATGCCTCAAGGCCAATTTCCTGGATATTAAAGGGTGAGAGTTAGAATATGCAGTTCTATTTGACATGGTGTTTGGGCTTAAAGTACTGCTGCCATCCAGCACTAACGACAGTATCTATCAATCTACACAATAAGAGTGGTACAGCAGGGATTCAGCCCCCTGTTAAGGACACTTTCAATACTCATACAAAAATATTTGATTGTACAGAGTGGAACAAAACATGATCATTACCCAGATTTTTTTAAAATTATAAATAAGATATGGGATGCTGCTCTGAAAACTGTAACTCACTTATTATAGGACTATGCTGTTAGTTAAACCTTCATAATAAAAAAAATTAGATACTAAATGCAAATTAGATGTTACATTAAGCCTAGATGATTTGACCTTTGTCAATAAAATGTCAGTCTTATGTTTATATAACTCACTTGTATTTTTATTAATTTTTCAATGTATTTTAATATTTGTATATTTTCTGCTGGAACTGTAAACCTGTTGTTGAAAGGGCAAGAGAAGAAAGAGGATCTTCAGAGCAGCAGCTGCTGACAAAGCAGCTTTTGCTTGACTTCTCACAGGTTATCAGGTTGATCATCAATCAACCTTTTAAGTAAATATTCTCTACTTGCAGCTTGTTCACTGGGGGATATTCTGCAGCATTTCTCTGTTTAATACAACAAAAAAATCAAATATACTTGCGTTTTGAGCACTGATCAACTTTGCCTTTTGTAACTTACCTTTTCCTGGTATTTAAGTCACTTAATTAATGGAATCGTCTTTAATAATTGCTAGTTGCGGCCCAACTTATTACAGCCCCGAATCCCACGTGTTTACTCAATGCTAAAGTTCAAGGATCATTCTTAACATCTTTAAAAACACACCTGTATGCTTTTTTTATTTCCTCTGGAGACGCTCCTTTCTCCAGGCCCAGGACTTTGTACAAGCTCTCTCCCGCTGTTGACATTTTCCGCTGAGGTCTGTTTGGGTCCTCCATGTTTTAGAAATTAGCGGCTGACATAAAAAAAAAATCACAAACACTACAAATTACTTCCTGTCACATACAGCGGAGAGACTGTGGGACAGACTGGTAAACGTAGTGACTCTGTGAAATGCAGAGTTAAAACACTAGCTTGCGTTATTTAATATATTAGCACGCTAACTACAATTTAAGATACTTATTGACTCATCTCAAACATTTAACTTCTCTTACTTCGCTTCCTGTTAAACCCTACGAATTCAACTCGCGACAACATGCTAACATACAATACTTAGCTAATTTTAGCATGGCAGCATAAGGAAGACGTAAATATCTACATACTGAATTAATCAATATCGTCGTTTTCGGTCGAATCATAGAGTCCCAACCCCGTCTTCTGGTGGTCTCAAAGTTTATTAAAATAAGTGGAGCTAGTCCACGTTTTCCCCAGTTTAAACTTCTCTCCTCATGCCCGGAGAAAAGTTCAGAGTAGCCGCAGAAAATCCGGAAGTTCGACAAGTTGATAAAGTTTCTTTAAACACACACGTAACGTCATCGGTCGTTTTTTTTTTCTTCTAACTTTATTGGCAAAGTCAACAAACACCATAGGCCTAGCCCTAGATGTATTCAGCATAGGCTATAGTGTGACAGAAAGTTAGTGTGAGTTTTCAAATAACATTGTGCTGTAAAATTCCTTGACATAAAGCTACATTTCAGAACAATTGCATTTCTATTGCTGCACAGCTGCAGCTGTTCATCAGTGAGTTTCTTGATTCTGTGGAATCACATTAATAACAATCTTCCCCGTGTTTTTGTTGGCTTCCATGTGCCGATGAGCCTCTGCAATGTCTCCCAGGGTGAATGTGCTGTCAATCACTGGCCTCAAGGAGGCGGCCTGGCCTGAGAAATATGGTAACACTCTGTGTGAAAAAGCCTTCACCAGGTCTGCTTTGTACTGTGAAAAGAAGAAGCAAAGTCAGAAACAGGCTTAGTTACAGTAATGCTGATACAAGAGATGTGGCAACACTAACTTGCACATTGCCTGACTGTGGAAAACTAGACAAAGTGCACACAGAAAGGCGGAGCTGTGTCGTTTCTGTTTGGGTTAGATTCTCACCTGAAGATTACGAGAGCGGAGGAGGCTGCTGAGCAGGTGTCCTCGCTTAGAGAGAAGTCTGCCAAACAGATCTCCCTCCACTGTCCTGCCACCCAATGTGCCGTACAGCACCCACCTGCCATCCGTGGCTAAGCAGCTCACATTCTGCTCCCAGTTTCGCCCACCAATGCAGTCAAGGATAATGTTTGCCCCTTTGCCTGTGGAATTACAATGTTATGTTGGTATGCTGCACCAGGAAGACACAGCATTTGCAGTTCCAGAATAGACTCTGACTTATACATATTTTAAGTTTAGGGATATATGAGGGGTGATTTTCTCTGTTTTTCTCAACATATCCCATGAACAGACCATTGTCTGTAGCTTGAACTCCTATTCTTCTCTGCCACAGAGCTCAATTATTGTCAAGAATTATTAAAAATACAAGTGAACCACACGGTTAGACTGACTGATCTTTCATTTCCATGTATATAGTCACTGTAGTTTGTTTTGAGTCAGTGCCAAATAGTCCCAAACAAATACATGATTTACTCCTGTTTGACTACCACTGCCAAGTCTCCAAGTACCCATGTCTGTTAGGAAAGTATTTAGTTAAACCATAAAAAGTTAAACGATATCTTCATTTTTATATTTAAAGAGATGGGTATCCAGGGGCCCTAGGCTGGGTGCTGAGTGCAAAACTATAGAATAGAGTTTTATCCTTTAACATTTTTTTTGTTGGTATTTGTTTGTTTTTTTTGTTTTGTTTTTCTTTCCTCACAAAAATGAAAAATGTCTGGTGGAGAAGACTTCCATCAACAAGTGTTTGTAACAAATCAAAACAATCCTGAGTAGCAGTTACTAATATGGGTGCAGTGATGTAAAACCTACATTTGACAGAATTCTGCTATTCTGTTTGATAAATCGTTATAAGTGGAAGATGCAAAATCTTTACAGCAGTAATCGATTACAGGCAAAGACAGCACCCTGTCACCTGTGGCTACACAATTCACCTCCTGTAAAGTCACAGACTCCCTGTGCGAAGCTTTCCTCTTTGTAGTTAAAACCAGCTGCTGCTCCCAGTTCCTCAGCCATCTTAAGTTTTTCTGGGCTCCCCGCGGTAATGATGGGCACGGCACCAAACAGACGAACCAGCTGAACAGCGGCTGTTCCTACGCCGCTGGCTCCAGCATGAACCAGCACCACCTCGCCCTCCTTCACCTGAGCTATGGCAGAGAAGACAGACAGCAACATGACACATGCATAATTAAATATTGGCCTCTTTTAATTACAAAAAGAATAAATGTTATACTTGAATTTATTTTTTCTCAAGAGTAGAAGAATAAATAAACAAAGGTTGGTATACCTACTAAAACCAGCAGCTGGAAAGCAGTGAGCCAGGCCTCTGGGACTGCAGCAGCTTGGCAGAATGTGAGATTAGGGGGAACAGGCATGAGAAGCTCCTCAGGCACAGCAACGTATTCTGCATATCCTCCTCCACAGAGCAAGGCCATGACCCTGTCATCTGGCTTCCAGCTGCTTTTAACCCCCAGGCCCAGAGTATCCACAGTGCCAGCCACCTCCAGGCCTATGATGTCACTCTCACCTGGGGGAGGTGGGTACAGTCCTCGTCTCTACAGAAAACAGAAAATAACCATCATTAGACCCAGTTTATATGAGCTGAGATGCATTTCTGAATCAGAATCATCGGATTTTATTGTTTGAGTGCAATACACAGAAATTTGTCGAGAAATAAATTAACCACATACTGTAGTGATGCACATCAGGCCACTGCATGTACAGTAGACTGCACTGTGCATGCTTTGTAAGAATATATATTGTACCTGTAATAAGTCCGCCCTGTTGAGGGCAGTTGCATGAACTTTAATCAGAACCTGTCCATTTCTAGGTTGAGGTCTGGGGATATTTCGCAGCAGCAAACTCTCCGGTCCTCCTGGCATGTCGACATACACTGCCTGCATCATCTTGGCCAAGCTAGAGCAACACTTGTGCCAGGTCTGTAAAGGAAATCAAAGAAGTTTACATTTTCTTGAAATAAATGTCTTGCTGTGTTCTGGCTGGGGTCTCAAATGCCTCAACATAAACGACATGACAGCAAGTAAACCTTAAGCAACTTAATGAAAGCTTTTTAATGATCCTTTTTAAACACTCACTGTCTGGTGAGGGTTTCCCAGTAAAAATCTTCCAGCGTGTAGGATGTGATTCATTTGATAGTTGTAGCAGTGACAGCTGTGATTGATTGGAGAAAAAAAAGTGGATACGAAGTGTCAAGAGCAATAAGCAATCACGCTCAAACAGATGAGCAAGCACACCAGAAACTTAATTATACCCTCAATTGTAATAATAAGTGACCTCTGGGTTTTTTTTACTTGAAATGGCCCATAATACATCTGGTGTCTAGAAGTCACATCGGTGTCCCACCATGGATTTTCATAAGATGTTTATTCTATATGAGTTATTTATATTCTCATTCATTTATACTGTAGCCTAAATATGATCACTTCAGCAGATCTGCTTAAAGACCACATATTACAAAAATTGTGACAGTAAACAAATCTATTCTAGTTTGGTCTAAACCAAATACTGTTAGCAACCTGAGCAACTCGATGCATTTGTGCCCATGTAGTGTTTAAATTAATGTAAGAAAAATGCTGGCAATGTCTTCTGTGGGCAGTAAAAGCTTATACCGCTTTCACAGCAAAATTACAGAGCATACATGGGTATTTTTTATACCCGGCTAAACCAGCATTTAACTGGCCGTTGAGGGTTTTCTCACTGCCGACCAACCTGGCTTGGCTCTCCAACACTGGAGTTTGTTTCCCCGGTACGTCATTTCTGACGTCATCACACCGGTGATGTCAAATACCGGTAAACAAAGCGGAATGGAAGCTAGGTCAGCGTTATTTCTTCGTATTTATTTTTGTTCTGTACTGAAGGAAGACGGGTGGAATTTATGGCTGAGATGGCAAAGAATAGCCGAAATTATCAACGGAGGAGACAAACCTTCATTACCTCCTAGTTGGTAATTGCTGAAGTGATGACAACGCGCGAGCGTCATTCCTTACGTTCGCGGCTTTAGCAAAGTTTGGCGTTACCATTGTTTCCAAGCCGATGCAAAGCGGATAACCACCCATGTCGATTGAAAAGTCATTTGTCTCAATAGTTGCATTCCCACTGCCATCAAAAGACAAGGTGTGACGAGTTTACATGGTTATTTTGGGCAGTGGGAAAGGGGCTAAAGATTCTGTAAAGAGCTATTGGTACAGGTTTTGCTGTGAGATTCACTAACATATTTCAGTTGTATTTAGGTGGTGTCACAGGTTTTAAAACATTTTACTGTTAATCTGAATGTATTTCCAAACTGTTCTGTCTGTTCCAAATTGTCACAACTGTTATAAGTGGTTTTAAACAGCCTTAAGGAATTACCAGTTAGTGTTCTACTAGAGTAAGTGATCCAAATGAATGCTAATACAAGCCTGCCTGGGTACACAGAGCCAGATCTACATAGCTAAATATAATTAGAGATAGGTGAGAAAACACTGATTATTGTTAATATTTTTTTTGTAATGTAGGTGAAGCCGCTGTCAGTGGATCTACAATAACACATGGTCCTTGAACACAAAATAAATATGACTTTTGGGCCATTTCACCTTCCGTAGAACTGCTGCTAGCTCAAGGTGAAGTCGTTGCATAATTCATGAGCAAGGTGTGAAGAATAAGGAAACTATTTAGCATGTGAAAAAGGAATAATAGACCATAGGGGAAGTAGAGAATAGTGAAAATGAAAGAGTTCTGTACTGATCTGGCTGGTCAGGGAAGTTTCTCCATTACATAACGTTACGTAATGGTAGGTACTTTATTGATCCCTCAATGGGGAAGTTTCAGTATTTCAGCAGCAATGGAGAACAAACAACATAACACCATGAGAAACAAACACCACACACACATCCTAATAAATAAATTCCAAGTACTCAAAAATAGAATCAAGTATTTGAATAATCAAGAACAGTAATGCGCATGCGCTAGCTCCAGTCTCCGCGGATCTGGACGTCAAGGTTAAAATTAATTGATGCAACATACACTGCTCAAAAAAATAAAGGGAACACAAAAATAAGACATTCAACTATTTGTGTTCCCTTTATTTTTTTTTTAGCAGTATATTTTAACAGAAAAAGAAATGGCATTATATTTAATCCATATAATAGCCGCTAATTTGACAGTTAATTGATACCTGTAAATTACGGTTGAGCGTTAAAAAGTGAGCTTACCAGTCGGTGGTGTGAAATGTTCAGCAGCTGTGAGGAGACTGCAAGATTTTTGGAGAAGTTGAGTTATGCCATCATCCAGACTGGCTCTAGTTTGAGGTAGGGGGTGGGAATTGAACTACCAGAGGCAGGCCTTGTGCCAAATAACTAGGAATAATTAAGTACACAATAATATAGTATAAATAAATAAATATAGTAGTAGAAAAATTCATCTTAATCTTTTTAGAAAAGTTTGGTTTTGGTGGGGGATTCATGGCCTCAGCATTTATAAAATCCAGGCTACAATATTTTGTTAAAAGTAATTTTAATTTGTATACAGTATCAGTATTCATTGTGCAGTGATTTGCTATTAAAGCACAGAAAGGCCCAGCCCTACTATAAAATGGGTATGACATGTAATATAAAACTGAAATAATGTAGTCTTTGTATTGTAGAAGTACTTTTATGATTGAATAAAGTATTCCAACACTATCACCAAAATCTAAAATATAACTAAGACCTCAAACGGTGAAAGACATGTAAGACATAGGTAGCATTATTACCCACAGTTGCATAAATCCAGAGAAAACACTAGGCCAAGGGGTTCTGCACAAGGTGAATCGCTGTGTCTTAGTGATTTTATAACCTGGAAGAAACCCTGTGACTGTGCTTTAAAGGCATCTTGAAAGTTAATCTCAGGAACATGCCAGTGCACAATTACTAACAGCACTCTTGCATTTACCAACCAATCCCTTTCACTTTGCCTCTAATACAATGGAATATTGTATTACATGTGCTGAGCAAGCCACAGCTGCAAACACTTATGTTACACTGCTCTGGGGGATGGTGCACACAAACCAGGTAAGAAAAAAGGCCAACCTTGGCTTTAATTTTTAAAAATTGACAGAATTGGCGAAACAAATTGACTCAAAAATGCACATTTCTCCCTCTAGCCTTTGTACAAATGGATAAAGTGTACAGACGAGCTGTGACACACAGAGAGTTGAGAGTGTTGAACCAAAAGGAGAACCGGGATCTCAAGCATAAACTTAACATGCTGGAGAAACAGTACAGGTACGCCCGAAAAATGCTTCAACAGAGACGAGACTCACTGATGAAGGAACACAGAAAAGTGGTGATGGTAAAAGTCTGCGAACCTAAAGCTACAGTAAACATTGCTATGAAAGAAATAGATGAACATAAGACTGCAGAGAAACATTTTAGAGGTGTTCACAAATCTGATGGAAGAAGACAACATTCCAGCAAATCCCAGTATAATGACACAGGATGTAAACTGGTGGAGCAGAGTCGGTCAGTATCAGCACTGCTACCCTCGGTTACCCCTACAAGTTCAATAAGAAGAAGAGGCCACATCCAGAGCAATCTTTCTCTAATGCAGATGAAAAATATCGCAACTATTGACTCCATATCAGAAAAGGAGCAGGTAAAGCAACAACAGAAAGCCCAAGAGGAAATAGACAGAATGACGCAGCTTCAGAGGGAAACGTTACACAAGAGGATCACAGCATTTATAGAAAGTCTCCAGGAAAAAGGCAAACTGGAAATACCTATGGAACCTTCGTAGAGGAACCTGAAAGTTTAGAGTCATTAACACATTTATTTTCTTCTCACAGCTCAACACAAAGTTTAACTGATAACATTTTATTATAAACAATGAGTATGTGCATTTCTATCAAAATGTAAAAACAATGCTTTTTATACACATTCAGTGCTTCACTTCTGAATAAATTACACAACACTCCTGTTATTTTTCATGGTTGTTAAAGCTTTGTACACAGGTGTCTCTGACTAGGCTGCAGTAGGCAGGACAAAATGAACAAAATACCAGAGGTAAAGTCATACTCAAGTAAAACTTAGAGGTCAATGCTTTTGGCTAGTTTTTCGTTAGAATGTTTTAAGTGTGACAGTGTTTGGAAGTAATTGTTCAGATCAGATTATTTTAAAGTTGTAAAACATGATGATTTATTTTCAGAAATTTCATTTTATGAGTGAAGAATTTTGCCAAGATAATGAGCAGATTGATAATACATTTGTCATTGTTGGAGTTGCTGCTACTGCTTCTTCTTCAGTTTTAATGGCGGCCTACAGAGCAACGTAAAAGGTACATACTGCCACCTATTGTACCGGAGTGTGGTAAATCGTGGCTTTATGAACTTGCACTTGAAGCTGTATAGGCATACACTGAATACTTCACTTGTATATGTATACTTTCATGCCTATACATACATACACAGCCATACATGTATGTGAATGTATGAATATAAGTATGAATGAGAATTAGATTAGATTAGATTCAACTTTATTGTCATTATCCATGTACAAGTACAAGGCAACGACATGCAGTTTAGCATCTAAACAGTGCACAGTGTGCAGTATCTACAGTATGTTCAGTCAGAACTAATTTACCAATAGATATGTACAATTTATAGTTACAGTAAGTTATGTAGGGTGATGTACAATATACAACAGACTATGGGTTTAAATTACAATAATGGATAAGGTTTATAGAACATTAGTGCAGTGGGATGAAATGGAATGAAATACCAGGTCAATGGAGGACAGAGTTCAGTAAGGAGACAGCTGTGGGGAAGAAGCTGTTCCTGAGTCTGCTGGTTTTGGTCTAGAGGCTCCTGAAACAACCCACAAGGTAGGAGGTCAAACAGTTGAAGGGGCAGATTTGTAACACCTTACTTATGCTGTTGTGTGTGTTTGAGTGAAATGAGGGCTTGGTGAAGGGATTTCACTCAGTACAAGCCACTGATTGATTGCAGTGAGTGGATTGATCACAGGTGTGTGTGTGTGGGCACAGTCTCTATTCTACAGGCTATTTAGGAGCATACTGTATGTGACAACCACTGCCAGCATTAATTTTCCTGGGTGTTTTCTCTGTGCAAGCCCAGGTCAGCGTTAGACGCCACCACCTTAAGGCTAGATGATTTTCAATGAAAGTTGACGTGGGTATTCTAGCCAGAGGGCTGAAGTGAGTGTTCCAACTAGATGAAGGTAGCCTAGCAAGCAAGGCAACATGACAAGCCTGAGCGCTGTGTCCTGAGCGACTGAGAAGTAAACAATTGACAGCGCGACAGATCTGTGGTTCCCTGCCTTAATTTCAGACTGGTTATGAGAGTTGAACCTTTCCCCCTTCTGCCTTAACCTGATGAGAGGCATTAACTACTCCCGATATTCCCCTCTAGCTCAGCTATTTTTTCAAGCACTTGCCCTAACACATTATTTTACTGCTTTTTAACTTTTAAAACATGCTGTAGGCTGTAAAGCTGCAGGTGTGGCCACCTGATTGGTTCAATCAGCAGGTTGTTTCATTGGGGATATGCTCTGCCCATCCAATGCTGCTTCTGCCCTATGTCAAAGAGCGGCTCCACCAATCAACACACAACCTTGCAGAAATCAACTGGATAAAAGACACTTTTGTCTGCTCAGCTATTTCATGGCCAGCAAACTTTCATCGAGCAGAATGGGTGCCATGTTTCCATCCGGCATCTAGCTTTTATAATACATCTCTTGAGTTGTGGGCTGTGAGTAGTCCCACAGGTCTGCTCCTGTTTTGAGATTTGTTTGTTTCCTCTTTGATATTGATTCACTGTTAATTGTGTTTTCATGCTTTGTTGTGCTTTCAGCTAGCTTTAGAGTTTTGATTGTAGTGCTATGCTACTGTAATTGTTAGCATCAGCTCTGTTCTTTGTGAGTAAAGAGATACCATAAAAGATTATTTGGATCAAGGATTTAAGGACGCATTTTGTGTTAATTATTCACAAGGGACCCACTTGCATGAGCGAATGCTGTGCCCTGGCAGAGTTTCATGTACTCTGAGTGCTCTTGTTTGTCTTTTCTTTAAATACTTGCATCTAATTTACTATACACTCTGAACCTGCTTGTCACAAATAAATTCAATTCAGTTCATTTGTATAGCATCAAATAAATAGAGCCTACATCAAAAGCCACATATTTAATACAAGACAGATAAATAAATGCACAACAAATGTTCAAATGAAGAAAAATCTTGTAAGACTTCATGTGAAGACATCTGTTGAGAAACACTGGCCAATCCAGTTCTTAAACCGCTGAGTCCCAAACGGGGTCGGTGGAGCCAATCGGGCGAAAGGCAGGTTACACCCTGGACAGGTCGCTGGTCCATTGCATGGCCAACACGCAGACAAGCAACCACACACACTCACACTTTAGAGACACTAATGAACCTAAGTCACATGTATTTGGACTGTGGGAGGAAGCCAGAGTACTCAGAGGGAACCCACGCAATCAAGGGGAAAACATGCAAACTCTGCACAGAAAGGTTGTGAACCCGTGACCTGCTCGCTGTGAGGCAACAGCACTAACCACCGTGCTGCCCCACAGGAGGATTAATAAGAAGGAAAAAAACTTTCAGCCCTCCACCTCAGATTCAAATTTATCTGGATTCACTGAGCGTAACATTGGCCGTCCTGGACAACCAGTAGCAGGTTATCAACTGGCTCTGTTAAATCTGGGTTTTTTTATCGGGCTACATTCATGTGAAAGAGGCAGAGCTCTTAATTAGAAGCAACAGCACCGTGAGTGATGTAGGCTGCTGAAAACAATGTGAGATGGAGCAGTGATACCTGCAGAAAAAATGAGTATTATTTTAAGGATCTTATTTAATTAGTTTTATTTAAACTTCTTTTCCTGATGTTGAAGAAACTTGTCAAAAAATTCAACAGTTTCAGCCACCAGGGAGGAGAGGAGAGGACACTGGGGAGGAGTAACATTTCAAGACAGAGGTTAATTTAAAATCATGGCAAATATTTAACAAAGTATGGATTATTTTTCTACTAAAAGACCATTATCACACAGTCTCCGCATGTTATTCTAGGTTGCAGTGACGAAAGCTTGTAAAAACATAGTTAGGGATTCAGTCCATAATCAATCAACTCAATGAAATCAATTAACCCTAGTCCTAACTATCTTATATGCATTTAATATAAATTACTGCTGGGTAACTTGTGAATTTTCCACCATAGATAAATGAGGTCTAATAATTATACAGTATTTTTATATTGATCTGGTTCTGAAAAGTAATTAAAGTTATAAAATAAATGTAGCATTTACCAAGAAAATGTAGTTAAGTCAAAGTATGAAGTAACACAAAATGAAAGTACAGATACCTTAAAATTGTACTTAAATACAGTACTTGAGTAAATGTATTTAATTACTTTCTTCCACAGTTTAGAACAGTTTAAAAGGGAAGGGGAATACAAAAAAAACCCTCTAAAAAGCCTAAAAAATACAAATCTGCTTGCATTTATTGCCTAAAAATCTTTATTTATTCACTTTTATAAAGTCAGCGGTCTTTGAATTGTATTGTATGTA